TTCAGAAAACCAAACCAAACCAAACCAAGCCAAACCAAACCAAACCATACTAAACCAAACCAAACACCATAGGGCTCATAGGAAGCCGACTGCCGAGGCTACCAGCTCCTCCAGCCGACCATAGAGTTCATAGGAAGCACACTGCTGAGCATGTCCTCCAGCCAACATGCAGCTCCTTGCTGCCTGGATTACCCTACCCACCTGCCCATCTCTGGGCTGCTAGAGACACAGGAAGCACAAGTATGCTTTTCTCCTTTCTTGTCAGAAGCTTCAAAGAGAGTCTTAAATCCTTAATTCTTCTCAATGCCTAGTCCTTTGTTGCTGTGGGGATTTTTCAGAAGCACTTTCTGAAGTAGCATTTTCCAACAGAACTTTCTGCGATGATGGAAATGCGTTGCCCCTCCCAACTAGATAGTCAGTCATTTGGTACCTATAGGTATTGAGCACTTGAAATATAAGATACTGACTGCAAAATATTTTAGCTCCAGTTGGACCTAGTGATGATGGACAGAGAGGTTCCATACAGTTTAAGATCATGGTTCACAGGACCCCATCAATAGCATCTGTAGGCTTATGGGGTTATTGATACGAATTTAATATGAGTAATGCCCTTAACTGGACTGGGGAACAGAAGTAAAATGTTGGCAATAGCAATGATAAGGAATCTGGGGATCTCTAAGGAGGGGGGAATGAGTTCATTTGCCTCTCAGAGTCATTTGGATTGAATTTGAATTTTTAAGCTAAGTTTTGGAGCAAGACAGAATTATCAATTCAGTGTAAAAATGTCTACTCTGTGGCCTGGCAGTGGTGGCACTCACCTTTAATCCCAGTACTTGGGAGGCAGAGGCAGGCGGATTTCTGTGAGTTCGAGACCAGCCTGGTCTACAAGATCTAGTTCCAGGACAGGCTCCAAACAAAGTTACAGAGAAACCCTGTTTTGAAAAACCAAAATAATGATGATGGTGGTAATGATGATGATGATGACAGTAAAAAAATGCCTACTCTGAAACATAGCATGTACTCACTTATAAGTGAATATTAGTTGTGAAGTAACAGATAATCATGCTAAGGTCTACAGACTCAGAAAGGCTAAGTGACAAGGACATCTTAGGGAGGGACCCAAGGATATCACTGGGAAGGATAAGTAGAATAGAATTCACAGGTGAACTGGGAGTGGGTGGGTTTGGGAACAAAAGGGATCAGGTGTGTGGGAAGGGAGAAAAGAGTGGGAGAAATTGCTGGAATTAGGGGGGTCATTTTGGGGGTAAGGTGGAAACTCCATGGACTCTACAAGAGTAACTCTAGCAAAGACTCCTAGTAATGGGGGCACCTTAACCCACCATCTTCTGCAATCAGGCAAAGCCTCAAGTGGAGAGACTGGGACACCCAAGCCAGCCACAATTTTTTTTTTTTTTTTGGTTTTTCGAGACAGGGTTTCTCTGTAGCTTTGGAGCCTGTCCTGGCACTAGCTCTGTAGACCAGGCTGGTCTCGAACTCACAGAGATCCACCTGCCTCTGCCTCCCGAGTGCTGGGATTAAAGGCGTGCGCCACCATCGCCCAGCTACCAGCCACAAAATTTTTGACCTACAGTTTGTCCTGCCTGCAGAGTGTTCTGGGAACAGAGCCTAGCAGAATCCTCATCAAAGAGACCAGAGAGACTTCATCCAGCAACCAATGGGAGCAGATGCAGAGTCCCACAGTCAAACATTAGGCAGAGCTCAGGGAGTCAAGGGACACCACAAGAACATGGCCCACACGATCAATTGACCAGGACTTGTGGGGGTCACAGAGATCGGGGGCCTGTAGGGGTCTGACTAGGTACTCTTTATATATGTTATGGCTGAGTAGCTAGCTTAGTGGTCTTGTGGGATTCCTAACAGTGGGAGCTTGGGGAGGGGTTGCTGACTCTTTTGCCTATTTATGGGACCCTTTTCCTCCTACCAAGTTGTCATGCCCAGCCTTCATGTAGAATATATATGCCATGTTTGGTTGATGTCTCTGAAGGCCTGCTCTTTTCTGAGGGGAGATGAGGAGTGTGGATCTGGAGGAGAGGGGAGATGAGGGGGAAACTGAGGGGAGGGGAGGGAGGGGAAACTGCAGTTGGGATGTAACATATGAGAGAAGAATTTAAAAAAACAACTACTGCACCAATGCAATCACCATGGCTACAGGAATCCAATGACTGAAGAAATTTCACTCCAAGCTGTTAAAGAGAAGCAAGGAGAAGTGAATGGGATATCAGAGTGCTAGAATGACCAGTGATCTCAGGACCACCCCTGATGATTTCTGTACTTGGGAGAATTGAGGAGACCCCAAGAAATGATAAATGAAAGGAGTTAGTATTGTGCACAGCCTATGGAAAGCATTTTATAGGTACTTGTACTTACAACGATCTTTATTTCTGCCTAGATTATTTTCGAGCCCTCTTCCAAGTCCCTTTGAAGCTATGCCAAGCTACTTAGTTTTGGGGAATGGACTAGGTCAGAGAGAGTATAGATAACAAGGGCATGTTGAGGACCATTTTAGTACCATCCTATTTGTGAACTGCTTCATAGGAAACATGTCACTGAGGAGGTTTATGTCACAGAGACAGACAGTACTGGACTGGTAGAACCAGAAGAGTAAAAAATCCAAGAGAAAGAGTAGCTAAGAGGACTGTCAGTATGTTAGACATTTGTGTTATATCACTATACTAATATTATCTAGGCTGGTGAGCCATGGGTAGCATCTGTGCCTGGCTGACCAGAAAACCACGAGGTGGCATAAAGGATGTGATGGGAAAGGGTATCTGGGTAAGTGGCATTGTGGGTGAGCATTTCAGGCCCGGTGGCTTAGTGGGAAGGGTACTGGCTCTGCCACACATTTGCAGGATTCAGATACTAACATTTCAATTATGTGACCACAAAGAGTGACTCCGTTAGGTTCCCAGCCTCTCCTTTCATTAGAGCAGCGGTGAAGATTACATACGCAAACTATTCTAACCCTAAATACAACAGCACAAATCGAAATACAAAAGCAGATGTGGATTTCCAGGTTCAGCCTTCCACTCTTCTAGTTCTCGTCCTTCCAGGAAAGCCTACTGGTTTTGCCTCCAACCTGATTTTTGAAACTTGGAGCTCAAGTTGTGTGAACAGTTGTAGCAAGCATAAGGCATCTGGGAGGGTGGGAGTGAGCGACAGTGGGTAGGCGAACAGATTAAAGAAGAAAGGATTAGAAGAGAGTGGTGTGTGGAAAGTGAAGTTTAAAGATGACATTGTCTAGCAGACTGTAGCTATCCGGGAAATAAATATTCTCTTAACATACATCCTCCAGTTGCCTTTCTCCTTTCTTCATCTGACCCACAAGACACAGTTAAAGAAACAAGCCCATACTGTATTAAAATCGGCGTTTGGAGGATGTAAACAACACGTGGTGGTGAGAGAAGGGTGCAGAGGAGAGAAGAGTCATAGCCCCAAACAAGCACAAATCTCTCTCCCTTTTAATGACTTCACTTGTTTGTTTGTTTGTTTTTTTTTTTTTTTTGTAGCCTTACAATGCTTCTGTTTCTGAAAAACCACAGAAATGCTTAGCAGGACATCATCCTTAGAAGCTTTTTCAACAGTTTATGAACCGGAAGACTTGCGTCAGGCAGAATGAGGCATCATCCAGAGTTATAAAGTCATATCCTGGAACGACAGGGGCGCCTTGCTCATCCACCCAGGAGAGCTGGGAACCTCTCAAGCAAGTCCCGGGGAAGCAGAGAACTGGGAAGGCAAAGGATTCTCACTTGTTTTCTAGATAAACACCAGACTACGCCCTTTAGGTGACTATATCGCTGTCGCAGGGAAAGCTAGCCAGAAAGTGGGGATCCCACGAGCTCCCGGGTATTTACCTCCTAGCAGGCAACTTTCAGCACCACGGACAGCACCCCGCCTCTCGCCAGCTCTTCCGATTGAGCACCCAGCTCTCTCCATGACCCGGGAGAAGAGGCAGGTTATTCCTGCATCCCTAGGCTACTGAGTTCAGATACTGCCTCTGCCAGTCAGGCGTACGTCCTTTGAGCCTCTGGACTCAAGATCTCAATGAACCGAGTTTCACACACGTAGCGGGATCAGTATTAAGAACAGGCGACAGCTCTGCTGCTCCTACCTTCCTTCATCTTTTCTCTGTCTTTCCATCCCTTCTGAGTCATTTGGCAGCCTCTACCTTACTGCTCGATCGAAATATAAAATGCACATTTGACGGGGGAGGAGGTGACTCAGGGGAGAGAGGAGGCTCAGAGCCACGCCACTCTATTCTGGCCCTCAGAATTCATGGGAAACTGAAAGTGCTTTGGGTCTGGGGAAAAGGCCAGGCTAAAGATGCAAAATAGCTCGGACGAAAGCCTCCAGCTCTGGGAGCAACGTACGCGGATACCTCTCCTGTCACATCCTTCTCAGCGCCTCATGGTGTCCCGGTTGGCTGGGGACAGATACTCCCAGTGGCGCACTAGCCTAGTCCCGGGCGTCGGGCTCCCTTTGAAGAGTTTTGCTCAGGTAAAAGGACAGATTGTTGTCCCTGCCTTTCTCAGGGACTGCGGGCCGGAAAACATCTTTTCTTTATCCAAGGGCTCAGTCCCAGGCCGAGAGCCCAGTTGCCCCAGCAAGGTGCGTTCATAGGCTTGGAGGACAGGATGGGCCCCAGCTGCGGAGACCCAGGCGGCCCAGACTCGCAGCATCTCAGCCTCGCGCTCCCGCCGCGGTGAAGGCTGCGCCCAGCCTGTCAGCTCCCGCGTGTCCCCACATCGGAGATGCTACCGGGGGCCCCATTCCCGGCTGGAGCCCGCGTGACCCTGACCTCGCCTCTTCTTTCTTTCAGAGACCCTCTTCCCATAGATCGCCCTCAACCTCCGCGCCATGTTCCCGCTTCCTCCCTTTGGGTGCCTAGGACTCCCTGGTTCATCTTCCTTGCAGGGGTCCAGTTGTGAAACCAGGGGCCGCACAAGGGACACAGCCTGTGGTGAAGGGGGGAATCTACTCACCAGAGGGGCTGGAGGTGATGACCTGGATGCTGATGGCCGGCGATCTGCACTTAGAGCTGAGGTGGGAGCGGTGATGGTGGTAAAGGAAGACGGGAGGCAGCGGCTGCTGCTGAATCGCTCCTCAATTATTCAGATCTAAACCCCTCCGCACCCCTCCAGCGCCTGCCAGTCTAGTCTCCAGCTTGTCTATCTCCGCCTCCTTGCAGTCACGTGGCTAGCCCAGCCCCTTCCATTACTGGGGACTAGCACCGCTCCTGAACACCCCTCCCCCTTCCGCCGGGTCTGTCACTCACCCGCCTTCCTGAGCTTCCAGGAGCGGCCTCCAGCCTCCTGCGTGCCCGCTGTGTGGAGCAGAGGAGCTGGGTTATATGCCCTGGAAACGCAGGGTGGGGTAGGGCAGGACTCTGCAGTGTCGCTGTGCTGGATGGGATGGTTTCTGGCACCAGCTCCACCTCTCCTGAACAGCGTTCTCGTTCCCGGTGAGGAGCCCTTGATGACTTTTAACCTCACCGCTATGGGAAAAGGGTGATGGAAACATTGATTTTCCCCTCAGCTCTCAAAGAAGACAAGAACCAAAGCTCAAAGAGACCAGGTTTCTTTTAGAGTCCACAACGTTTCAAAGATTTGAGGTTTTTGAAGACCTACAAGGAATTTCCATCTATGACCTAGCTTTTCTTTTCTTGTCTGTGAAGTGAAGATCTCCCAGGACTCTAGAGACAGTGGTCATTGTGTTGGTGCAGTTGTCTAGCTCTGTGCTGGACCTGGGCAGACAACAATAAATAAGAGTTCTCCTCTGGCTTCCATTAGAGATCGTTCCAGAAACGAGATGAGAGGGATGTGTCTGTCAAAAGAATGGAGATGTCCTTTGGAATGTAGAGTCTCTCATGAGGTCAGACTAGATAAGATAGTCAGGCCAAGTGGACAGAGGAGATATGTGACACTTTTATTTTACACTTAAAGTGAGCATCCTGGAAGAATTCTCTGTCTCAAAAAGACTGTTTAGTGTGGTGGCATGGACCGTTAACCTCAGCACTTAGGAGGCAGAAGCATGAGGATTTCTTGTTCCAGAAAACAGATTATAGAAGTATTGATGACTGATGTATTGAATATATATTTGAGATACTCCGGATGCAGCATCTGATAATGCAAAATTGATTCCTGCTCTACAGTCCTAAAGCTGTGAAGGAAGCAGAATGTTGAGAATAAAGCAGCATTGGCCCCAGTAGCACTGGGTACCACTTTAATCTAATGATGGAGAACTGGCATACATAGACGCAAGCACAGGGCATCTTATCCACGACCTTTCTGGCACCGTTTATCAGTAAGAGTTATCGGTAACATCCCTGTGGTCGAACTGCTTGAATGGGCAGTACTTGGGCTAGGAGGGGTTGGCAGGGGCTTTAAAGCAAGGTTTGATTTTGTCTCCTGCTTCATGAAGGTGAAGGTGAAGAATTCTACACTCAGTGGTATTCTTGCCTCTGACAGATTTGAAAACTGAGAAATCCGAGGTCCTGTAGCTCCCTGATCGGACAGAGCTGGTGTGGGACCCTTCTGCTGGGAGTAGTGCGTCTGAGTTGTGGAGGAACAAAAGGATGACAACTGAAACCCTGGATTTGTCAGTTCACCTTAAAGGCATGCTAAAGAAATATTCTGGGTCTGGAGAGACAGCTCAGCTCATGTGCCTGCTATGAAAATATGAAGGCTTGTGTTTAGATCTCCAGCACCCACCCCAGCTGGGAGCCCCACTGTGTGCCTGCAACTCCAGTGCTGGGAAGGGGTGGGAGCAGACAGACTTAGAAGCTTACTGACCAGGCAGCCTAGACAAACCAAAGAGTTTCAGATTCAGTGAGAGATACTGTCTTAACAAACAAACAAACAAACAAACAAACAAAAGATGCTCAGCATTGTGATTCACGCCTTTAATCCCCAGTACTCAGGGGGCAGAGGCAGGCAGATCTCTATGAATTCGAGGCCAGCCTGGTCTACAGAGTGAGCTCCAGGTCAAGGATACAGAGGAGACCCGATCTTTAAAAAACAAAAACCAAACAAACATGAGTTTAGACCAGAATATCGGGCCTAGGGATATAGAGTAAAGAAGGCTGGACAAAGAAAAAAGCCAGTAGTATAGTAGTATGAAAAAAAAGGAGAGAGAGAGAGAGAGAGAGAGAGAGAGAGAGAGAGAGAGAGAGAGAGATATTCAGAGAGAGAGAGATTCAGAGAGAGAGAGATTCAGAGAGAGAGAGAGAGAGGTCTAGGAAAGATGCCTGATGTTGATTTCTGTTCTCCACATGCACACTTGCCCCAAGCACACATCTAAGTTAAAATATGCATAGATCAAATGCACAGCACAACTCTCCCATACACACAATTTTAAACAAAGGAAATCAATAAATCAATAACTACTTGATTGCTGGACATTTACTAATCTTCAGGTTTTCTACTGGGTATCTAAATTTCCAGAGGACGTTCCAAACAGGCCCGTTTCTTTCCCAAATGTGTAATCCGATAGAGCGCTCTCCTCACCCTCAGCCCGTAGGACAGAACATTGCTTTGTGGGTGTTGCTGTGTAAAGGGGTCAGAGGTTAGGGATGTCAAACTAATGATTTCCTAGCCTGGAAGGAAAGATCAAAACAAATACATCCCACTCTGTGCTTGCTTTAAGTACAGTTCTTCCTACAGATGAACCTGTTTGAGAATTTTCCTTTGACTGCTTTATCTAGAAAGCTGGCATTGTTTGCCACGGGTGAAAGACGACCATTGGAAAGACAATAAAGCAACACTGCTATATTCCGTCTGACCACCTTCACCTCTCCCAGAAGTCAACACGGCCTGAATTCATTGTCTTGCTAAAATGGGTACTAACGGTTATTAGTGAGATGGTAAGCAATTCTGGCCTCAAATTGAGATTTTTTTTCCCATAAAATAAGCAGAAAAATTGACAAATAAGTACAAAAAAATCAACTTTGAACTCTAAAGTCATAGGTCATGTAATGTCAAGTCCAGCTAGCATCTAAATCAGGGTTTCTCCTGCCTTGATGCACACAAGAGCTATCTGGAGATCTTGTTAAAAATGCAGAACCAGGTTCAGAAGGTTGGGAGGGTACACAAGAATTAATATTTTTTCTATTTTTCTCTTATCATATGTGCATGTGTTCATGTACATGTGAGCAGGTGCATTTGTTCATGTACGTGTGTGCACATGTTCGTGTAAGCAAGTGCCTGTGTGTGCTCACATATGGACATGTCCATGAGGCAGCTAGGAAGAAGACAACTTTGGGTGTCATACAAAGAGCATGGTCCACTTACTTACCTGGAGACAAGGTCTCTCGTTGGCCTTGAACTCACTCTAGCTTAGTGCTAGACTGGCTGGCCAGTCAGTCCCAGGATCCCCTTGTCTCCTCTGCCTCCGTGCTCGGATTACATGTATTTCCCACTGCTCCCAGACTTTTTGTATGGTTCTAGGAATTGAACTTTAGTCTTCATGTGTGTAAGGCTCAACAAGGCAAGGTGCACATTTCATATTCTAGTGCTTTCCTCAAAAGATCCATTAAATCAGGATTTGATGGGTTTTTTTTATTGTTGTTCTTGCTTTTTTGTTGTTTGTTTCTTTTGAAGGAGAACTCGAAAAAACTCAAACAAACAAAGTAAAACCCATAAACATATCAACAAATATGATATTTGTTAGGCCACAATTTGAAAGTCAAGTTTTGGAACATTGTGTTCTATAAGCGATTTTTTTCAATATTAAACGCACTCAAAGTTCTAGTAGCTTACAATAACAGACGCTGCTTCATTATTCATGTTGTATATCTATCTCTGGTCACAATGGGCTCCGCCCCTCAGGGCCACTGCTCTTTTATGATGCCCTACCTTAACATGATAGCTTGGGCTTCACTTTGGTGAGCAAGACCAGGTTTGGCAGACCCTGCAGCCGAAACTCAAAGTTCAGCACCATCTCCTCTCTATTGCCTGCCACCCACTGGCTGTTCACCTGGCTCTACTCCACCGCAACCACAGAGAAGTGGAGAAGACTGTGCTTCCACTTGCCTGGAGTGAGAGCAAAGGCAGACATGGAGAACCGTGTCTTCCTCATACATAGGTTTTCTACAGATAACCAACTTTCATTATTTTACCTCAATTGTATCCTGCTTTTTTGATCTCCTCTAGCCAAAAAAAACCACCATTAGTTTACTTTCTCCTGGGCCCCCTTTACCACATGCAGGGAAAACACAGTATGATATCAGAGAGAATATATGGTGATTGGAAAGTTTTGGGAGAGCAGGGACGTCACAGGAGACAAGTGAGCCAGGAAAAGTGGTTGGGGTGACTGAAAAAGAGAGAAAGACATGAAGATGTCATCATTCCAGTGCCCACTGAGTTCTGGGTCCTGCATAAGAACATTCACGTGACTACTGTCCTCACAATAGGCTTGGCAGATTGTCATTGCTGTGTTTTATACACACGTAAAACAGAGGCTCAGGAGGCTCAGAAAACGTGTCAAGGTCAACAACATGTGAACCAGGATCAGGGCTGATCTAGTCTATCCCAAGAAGTCTAAGAAAGACACTCTTAAAGAGCCAGGCCACACTAGTCTTGAGTGGATCAACTGTCACACTTTCGCTGTAAATTGCTGAGACAGTTTGCTGTCTTAGACCTGGACTGACAGACATGCTTGATGGAGTACAGCATCCAGACTCCACAGAAGCTCCTACATGAAACCATCGTGTCTCCACGGGAAGTAAGGGTTCTCCTGAACACACACAGAGGTGTTCCCAGGTCCACCATCCCACAGGCTAATCCTCTCCCCTCCACTCACCCTCTTTACCACATTTGTGTTGTGCAGTGATTTCCAAACCGAAACACTCCCTCCTGGAGGGAGCAGGAACACTCCTAAGACCAGGGAGTAAATAAAACGTACAAGTCTCAGAAGACTGGAATTTATAGGAGTCACAAGATTCCTCTCCAGGTTTATTCAAGCAGTAGCAATTATTTGTTGGGGTTCCTTTTAATGGGAAGAGACTTTCTGGAACTATCAAGTTGCCTATAAGTCTTACATGGAACGCCATGGTGGCAGTTTTCGTGAGTTGTCACTAATACTGGTATGGGCTTTTTGATGCTACTAACTACTACCTGT